AAAAAAAAAAAAAAAAAAAGAAAAAGAACCAAAAGAAAACCACCACCATGCAGAAAATAAGTAGAGTCTTCCAGGAGGTTAAAAAAGCAAAGCATTGTCTGAACATGCAATGAGATCTCTGAGCTCCTGATGATATATGCATGGTTCAGGCTTGAGCCGGCCATAGGCTGCAAGCATCCTTACTCCTCGAACATACGGAATTATACTTGTAACAATGCCCAATAGAAAAAAAACTCCAGCATGGGCTCGGTTTTTCATCCACTCACAAAATCTCTGAATTTGATCTTCCCTCACTTGTTCTCCTAACATTCATCCCAGGGATTTTATGTATATGTATATAGTCATATTCATTTGTAAGAGACATCATTAGTCATTTATAAAGAAAAGGCACTATGAAACATGATCGATTATAATTATGGGTTAAGTGCAAGCCCGCTTTTCCAGAGATAAGTCCAAGAGAAATGCAAACTGCTTCTGACTCGCATTATACATTTTGAACCTCTTGGTTGTTATGTTTACTTTGCAACTGTCACCCTAAATCTGTACCAAATGCCTTTTTATAGTCCGTTTGGAATTGCTTCAAAATGATCAAACCTAGCCACCGGCCATTTATTTCCTATCTTCTATTTTCCTAAAGAAATCTGTTGCTGAGCTTTCTTAGAAAGGACACGGCTCCATATATCCCATGCCCATATGAAAAGAGAAAAGTGAGGCTCTGTGCTAGAACTCCTCCCTGTTTTGGTCTTTAGCTTGATAGAGATAGTCTGGAAAAATTATCCAGTCAAAGCTGCATAGAAACCTGGCCTGGCTCGTTCAGGGAGATAAAAACAGAGCCACAAGAACCTGGCTTTAGTGAGGGAACTGATTTCTGAAATTTCTAGGGTAAACCCTGATTGCAGCGCTCTTGAAATTAATGAAAAAATTGTAACAATGACTGGGACAATAAATACCAGTACTACTTTTCTTCTTACTATGTGTGTAGTATAAACAAATAGTTAAGAAAACTCTGCCCAACAATCCTCAGGGAATTGATATTATTTTGCTCAATTATTTGTATATTTTTGTTCTTTCTTGAGAAAGGGTCTCACCCTGTCACCCAGGTTGGAGTGCAGTGGCACCATCTCCACTCACTACAGCCTCCATCTCTGAGGCTCAAGGGATCCTCCCACGTTAAGCAGCTGGGGTCGCCTCAAGCAACTGGGGCCACAGATGCATGCTACCATGCCCAGCTAATTTTTTGTGTGTGTGCGTATTTTTGGCAGAGACGGGGTTTTGCCATGTTGCCCAGGCTGGTCTCAAACTACTGAGCTCAAGGGATTGTCATGCCTCAGCCTCCCAAAGTGCTGGGATTATGGGTGTGAGCCAGTGCAGCTGGTCTATTTTGCTCCGTTTGTAGTTAAGAAAATCTAACATCACATGATAAAACATTCTCAAAGTCACACTAGTAGTAAGGGGCAGAGATGGAATTTGAACTCCAGTCAGTTTAAGCGAGGATCACATGTTTGGTTGGGCAGTTTATGCCAACAACGTGAATAATGGCTGACATTCATCCTGTACTCAGCTCACCATCCTTTGAGGCCTATCAGGGTTTGCGTACAACAGAGGAAGGGATACCTTTTGTACTGTAGGGAGCAGCAGTGATGGTATCCAAAGCCCATCCTTCTACCCTTGTACCATGAGTAACTTGCAGATATGAGTTCAGTAAGTTGTACTTTGACTTTACACTCTCAACACTGACCTGGATTCTACCTTCAAGCTCAGGGGAAGCAGATACTGTACATATGCCATGGGCTATTGTTTAGTATATTGCTCACAGTACTTATCAGAGAATTAGGTCATTTTTTTAAACCTGCAGATGAAGGAACACTTTAATTCTCCTAAGAAACCTGTATTATTGTTATTTTTAAATCAAAGACAAATTTCCAGTTGTATTAGCAAATGATATCTATACTACTTTCTTCTTAGGGTTCTATTTCTAATCTAATGATTCCCTGATACCTGTTTCCATCATACCTATACTTTGAAGTTGGTTCACTTTTTGTAGAACAATGATGGTAATAAGCATATTAGCCAGTTAATGAAGAAATCAATGAATAAAACCACAAAGAATTTAAAATTTAAAGCTAGGGCATTAAAGACACCCTCCCTAAATTCTATTGCTGTTTTGAGACCTACCCTTGGCAAGGTATTGTATCCTGGTCTGGGATCCTTGATTCTTCCAGTTGTTGATATGCTGGTCCCACAATTCCGCCTAGCCTACTTCGGGGTGACGGGGGTGTCCTTCTGAAGGCATTCCTATGGAGCATGCCACTCCTTTGCCCTGGGCTGCAGCAAGAGGATAGACTCCTGCTGGGGTGGAATGAAAACAGACAAACAAACAAAAGACATCATAGCAATAGCCTCACAGGTGGCTGCTCCAGTTTTGCAAACACGGAATCTGAAGGCCAAATCCTCAAACTCTAGGCCTGGGGCTATCCGTGAATGTAGTATATGTGGTAGCATGGGCTCAGGAAGAGCCCAGTCATTTTACCTTTGGAGACACTGAGACAAAGGGAAGTTCCTGCATTTCTGGCTACTTAGGTTAGAGCATGGCTGATAGAAATCATCGCAACTTTCCAGCCAGGGATAAGAGGAGAATTTAAGGAATTCCCAAGCTCCTCATTCCCATCCATCATGATTATCCAAGTCATTTTAGCTGTCTCTCCAATAGAAATAAAAATAGCCTTCTTATGAGACACTGACAAAAACTAAATAGAGTAAGCCCAGAAGGGATTTATGGGGAAAAAAAAATTCACTTATTAGTGACAGAATTAACCAATTTTAATTAGCATTTTCTCATTAACATATGTGTTAAATTCCCAGTTCACTCCCTCAGATTTTAATCAATCTTGACAAACTAAATTATTTTTCTTTTGAGTTTGCTTTTAATAAACATCTGATTATATATTTTATTTGACTCATACATCCAAATGCCTAAATAATCATATGTTTATAGATGGCATCAATGAGCAAAATGTGTAAGTGGGTTATACCACAGGCCTTAACAAAGTGAGAATTCCTACATAGATTATGTACAGAAAAGAACTAGACTCTATAAAAATCCATTGCTGAGGAGACTCATTCCCTGTTCCATATCCATTTCCATTTCCACTCCACTGAATTAACCCTACTCTAGACTGGTGAGGAGAACTTTGTTCATGTGTAGACATTCCATGAGATGCTAGTTTACGTGGTCAAACTGGTTTTGCCGTGCTCAAATAACAAAGGAACTGAGAATTTCATGCTGCATTCTCATTTAGCTTTGTAAATATCAGTACAACCATAGAAAGAAAGATGGAAACATTCTCAATATTTCAACAAATTTATCAAGGTTCTAAAGAAATCAGTCTCTCAAAGAAATTTTACCCATATCACTATATTATTTGGAGTGTTGTCACTTTTCTTCCCCCAATTTTACTGTTAATTCTACTTAGTCAGTACAAGACGAGACTTTGCAAATATCATTTAAGGCCAGAGTTTGAAATCTGACATTTGAGTGTTAGTGGCCACTTTCTTGGTTGTGGCAAGGTGACTGATGAAACTTTATATTCCTCAAGCCACCATTAACTTCCTAAAATTGTGAAACGAGGATTATATCTGGCAACATTCCTTATACTTCCATTCTTTTTTTTTTTTTTTTTTTAAGACAGAGTCTCCCTTTGCCACCCAGGCTGGAGTGCAATGGCATGATCTTGGCTCACTGCAACCTCTGCCTCCTGGGTTCAAGCGATTCTCCCTCAGATTCCCAAGAGGCTACGTCTACAGGTGCCTACCACCACACCCCGCTACTTGTATTTTTAGTAGAGACGGGGTTGCACCATATTAGCCAGGCTGGTCTTGAACTCCTCACCTCAGGTGATTCACCCGCCTCGGCCTCCCAAAGTGCTGGGATTATAGGCATGAGCCACTGCGTCCGGCCTCTATACCTTCATTCTTTATCATGTTACTTCTGGTATGGTATGTCTCTAAATGCCTAACAAGGGATGTATAGTTAGATCACTAAGCTCACAAGTTTGAGGAGCTCTCTAACAGCTAATTTGCTTCTTTTCCTTCCTACTTTTATCTACCATCCAATGGCAATAATGGGGTCTGTGGGGCGTTGGGGTTTGGATGCTAGAGTTAGCTGCAACTGGGTGTAAGTCTCGGGTCTGCAGGTAGCTAGTTACTATAAGCATGATGCTGATGGAGGTACTTATACCAGTCAGAGTCCTGGAGAGAGATAGATGGCACTTTAACTTGCTTCATTGTTAGAGATTTTGCTATATACAAAAGTGTGATCCGTGTTTGAGGGGAAAAAAGGCAATAAAAGAGACTTGTGCCTCAGGACTACTAACTACAGGAAGCTGTTATTATCTCTTAAGGGACAAGGGGAGGGAGCAGTTCCCCGAATGGAGAGAGAAAGTGAGTTGTAAGAAGGGGGCCACCTCACAGGCTCCATGCCCTCAGAAAAAGGACACAAGGGAGGCAACCAAGCAGGGAGGAAGGGGACAGAAGTGCCATGACCTCACTCTCCTCCCTGCCATCTATCTCATGACTGTGCCTCATGCCGAGCCCACAGAAACCAGAGGACATGGGAGCTTGCAGCCCTCTTGGTGCACAGGGCAACGCAGAAAAAAAAAGGTAGAAGCTAGCTGCCCCAGTGAGAAGGGAGTGGCAAAAAGAAGATACCAGCATTTTACTTAAGAATTTTCTTAGGTTTGCTATGGGATGTGGAGGTTAAAAGAGAGGAAGCGTGCAAAGCATGGGGCATGGAGCCCGGCCTACAGCATGTACTTGGCACAATGAGTTCCTCTAGCTCCTCTGCCACAGCTGGCAATTCAAAGGGTCCTCTCTATCACTGAAAACCCTGGACTTACGTCACTGTAAAAAACCTATATACATGTTTTTATAAGTGACTTACAGCAGGACGTGGTGGCTCACACCTGTAATCCTAGCACTTTGGGAGGCTGAGGCGGGAGGATAACCCGAGGTCAGGACTTCAAGATCAGCCTGGCCAACATGGTGAAACCCTGTCTCTACTAAAAATGCAAAAATTAGCCAGAGTTGCACTGATAGTCCCAGGTACTCGGGAGGCTGAGGCAAGAGAATCGCTTGAACTCAGGAGGCAGAGGTTGCAGTGAGCCAAGATCGTGCTACCGCACTTCAGCCTGGGTGACAGAGCAAGACTCTATCTTCAAAAAGATAAAAATTTAAAAAAAGATAAGTGACTTATATTGCCAAAATATACTGCAATAAATATGACTTGCCATAACAGATTTATTTTCTAAACAGATGGGAATTTTTTTGAACTAACATTAGAAATAATGGCTTTGAATTAATAGCTTTGCTTCATACATGAGTTATCCAAATGAGTCATATTTGCAGTGCACAAAAGAAATTAATTATTCATAGCTTGCTAAACTGTCACAACAACAAAGTCGATCAGTATGAACTAGTGACCTGTCTTAAAAACAGTTTTTATGCCTCTTGATCAATCAGTTATTCAGGCCTTCTAACTTAATGGCGTTCGGGAAGTTATGCAGCAGTTTGCAGGATATATAAATCAGTGCCTGGGTTATCAATCATGAAAACGTTTAAGTCTATTGCATGTTTTACAAAACAAAAGCTACGATATATTAAACTCTCATTTACAAAGTTCTAAAAGCATTTTGTAAGTCAACCCTTGCCCATCTATCAGGACACAATGTATGCCAACAGATACTGCAGCATCATTGATCCAAGCAAAAAGGAAGGTCTTTTAAAGATATCCTCGTTTCATCTGTGAGTGACTCCCAGAAACCACAGCAGAAGCCTAGTTTAGGAGGGAGCATAAAAGCACACGAGAACTGGGGGTAGGAATATTGCAGCTCAAACATATTAAAAGCTGATGTTTAAATATATATATATTAAAACATTTATGACAACATAGTTAATATAGTACTAGAATGATAGTCTACTTAATTACTTGACAAGGTGGAATACTACTTTAACATGTGTTATAATCAGCAGGAGAAAATACCATTTGGGAGAAAATATCTGTCTTCTAAAAGGCTGGTAATATTGGACTTATTTCCCTAATTAAGACAAATTCCATTACGTCCAGTGAAATGAAATGCTTTTTTCACAGGAAAATATTCTGTAAATGCAACATTGATATAAATCAAAACTTGCAGTAAGAATAACTGAAGCAATTGTCCAAGCACCAAACATATTTCAATCCTGAATTGATCATACATTCATATCATTTTGTTAAATTGGCAAACTGCCAGTGTTTTAGTCTCTACTCATGTAGAATAAGAATAAAAATTACCAATAAGAGCTGAGGATTAGTGTGAAGAGTGACTAAAAATCTCATAAACGTGGCCAGGAACAACAAAATCCTTTTCATGTAACTTATCGAAAGGTGAGGGAGAGAGTAGTTTTCTTCTGTCATGCATGTTTCTGGCACAGTGTTGTACAGATTATTGCCCAGTATGTGAAAGCAAAGGGGCAACATTCATCTTTTATTGCTAGGAACACCTGTTATTATTTACTTTTTCATTTTAAAATTTTTAAATTTTTCATAATTTTTCAAAGTGTAAAATACTGTACATCTCACTAAGAAAAGGAAGCTTAAATCTCTGGACGACTTCCATAAAGACTGACGAGGTAGATCTGAACACAATCTAGCATTAGTAATCAACTTTATCATTTGGTTTAGAGCAAATACCTTTAATATTTGGAGTTTCAGAATCCTCATGTATAAAACAGAAAAGTGTGGACTACAAGATGCTGAAGGACAAGTTGAGCTTTAGAATGCTACAAAATGTGTCAAATAACTATGCTTTTGGCTTTTTTCTGAAAGAGTCAATTTCTGGGGTGAGCTTGCAGGAAACTGCCACCCCATTGATAACAGAAGATTTTACAGACTCAAGAAGAAGATTCACCAGGCTTCTTCCCCATGGAAAATTTTATTTTGTGAGAACCGTGTTGGAAAATCTGAAGTCTGTCACATTAGGCTGCATAGGAACGAGTTACCCATTAACTGCAGACCAGAAAAGGCAGGCTTGGTAAAATCTTTTTATAATAGTTTTTTCAGAATGCATTTTTTTAAAACTGGCATGTGTCTGTAGCTTTGATGGGTGTTATTAATAGTTCCATCAGGTTTCTTACTGGGGCAATGCTGTCTGCTGTGGAAACTGGTGTCTTTGACTTACCTGATGTGAGCTGTTTGAGCATCTACGCCATGAAGACTACAGAAGTGAAAACAGTTGTCACTCCTAAGTCATGCTACCAGTCCTTGGCATGTGCCATCCAGCATACCCACAGTGTGAACGTGCCCACTCCCACCATGATGAGCTACTTGTACCTGTGGTGTTTGACAGATTGGCGTCCTCTATCAGGAGAAGGAACCTCAGGGAATGTCTGGGGGCCGACAAAACTTGACTCCATCATTTTCTCCAATGCAGTCACAGGATGCCTTTCCACCTTTGAATACTGTGGGAAATCACATGCACAGAGTTGAGATGAAGGATAAGTGATGGGAGGAGGGCCTATAACACCATAGCTAAGCATTAAGAAGTTACTGGAATGCCAATTTTTTCTGGTCACCTGATCAGGAGAACAGGAGATGAGACATAATTTGTGTCCTCTTTCCAACACATCGAGTATTCACCTCCCCTGCCCCGACCTTCTGTGACTGGATGGGATCCAATGAAGAGGGTTCTTCATGTAAGAATCCCAGTTTGCTATCTCATTTTAATGTACATCCATGGCACACTGTGCCTGGCAGCTGAAAGGCACTTACAAGTATGTTTTAATTGATGTACATCTTACCAAAAAAACTGAATTAGTAGCTGGGTTACTAATAATAAAGATTCAGTAAATACTTAATGAATTTCATAACATTCTGAGAATTATGAAAGACACTGGTTCAGAATATCTGGCCACCACACTTCACTGTTTTTCTCTTTCAGCTTGTTACCAGGTAATTACCATATCTAACAAGAGAAATTTGTGAGCAATTAACTCCTTACAGTTCAGAGCTCTCAGTTTTACCTTTGACTATAATAACTCATAAGGCACAGAAGCCTAAAGAAAGCTTATATAAATGACAACTTCAGAAAAACTTTACCCCAAAAGAAATATCACATGGCATCTCAAGAGCCAGTAAGTTGTCAACTTTTTTTTTTTTTTTTTTTTTTGAGACAGAGTTTCACTCTTGTTACCCAGGCTGGAGTGCAATGGCGCGATCTCGGCTCACCGCAACCTCCGCCTCCTGGGTTCAGGCAATTCTCCTGCCTCAGCCTCCTGAGTAGCTGGGATTACAGGCACATGCCACCATGCCCAGCTAATTTTTTATAGCTTTAGTAGAGACGGGGTTTCACCATGTTGACCAGGATGGTCTTGATCTCTTGACCTCGTGATCCACCAGCCTCGGCCTCCCAAAGTGCTGGGATTACAGGCGTGAGCCACCGCACCCGGCCAAGTTGTCAACTTTAACACTCCCTGGACACTGGGCGCTGGAACAAGTAGCAAGTGTTAGAAGATTTCTCCTTAGAAACTCCAGACGAAGACTTTCTTTAGAGGTAGAATTTTAAGGATGCTAATCAAAATAAAAGAGAGTTGGGAATCTGGATATTCAGTACCCAATGTGTCAAGTTACAGATTTTAAGTGTTATCCTGAGTAACTGTAAAGCTTTAAAACTCACTCGGTATACTGTGTGTGTGTGTGTGTGTGTGTGTGTGTGTGTGTGTGTTTGTTTTTTGTTTTTTTGTGTTTTTTTTTTCCATTTCAAAAGCAAAGAAGCCAGTATTGGAAGCATTGATGAAAAAAATCAAGTTAATCAAACTTTTTGAATCTCACATCTATACGGTGGGATAATAAAAACTCTCTTATAGGGCTACTGAAAAAATTCACAAACAATACTTAATGCATTTGATTCAGGTAAAAAAAAAAGGTAGGTACAATCATGAAGATGATACTTTAAGATATTTTCTAGCCTTTTAGAAATATCATCTATGAACTATAAGAAATTCAAGATAAATTCCACCCTAAGTCCCATTTCTAAACAATTGGTAGTGGCTGCTTGGAGTCTCATATTTACATAGATTCTAAATATGACTTATGAAGTAAGACCTGAATAAAGAGAAAGAGTTATAACCAGAAGAAAAACAAATCCAGGAGGAAGGAGTGGGAGATGTTTTATGGTAATGTCTTTCTTAAAATGTCAGCTTTAAGATTAATACTTGAAAGTAAAGTCCAAATAATTTCAACATGGCTGGACAATATTGATAAGAAGAAGAACACAAAAAGAGAGAAGCATGATCATTTATAAAACAAAAAATCCTAGCTAGGATTGTTGAGATAAAGACAATGTAATATGCACAAACTCATTAATTTTAGACAGTTATAAACAAAATATATATATTTAAGTATTAAAAACTAGACAGCACTAGAATATAAAAATTATAAAATATAGAAAACATGAAAAAATTAAAATAATATTCAACAAAAATTAATAAGGGGGCTGTAACAAGACAGCATGATAAATCGGAAATAAATAGGAATAAGTGTGAAACTATCAGTGATGATCATAACTGTGGATGGTTAGATTTAACTATTAAAAGACAGACTCACACACTAATTTCATTTTATTATTATTTTTTAATCACATTTTAGGTTTTGGGGTACATGTGAAGAACATGCAGGATTGTTGCATAGATACACACATGGCAGTGTGATGTGCTGCCTTACTCCCCTTCACCTATATCTGGCATTTCTCCCCATGCTGTCTCTCCCCAACTCCCCACCCCCCGCTGTCCCCCCCCATTCCCCCCAACATACACCAGTGTGTAGCGCTCCCCTCCCTGTGTCCATGTGTTCTCATTGTTCAACACCCGCCTATGAGTGAGAACATGCGGTCACACACTGATTTTAAATGTCTAGTCATCTATATTTTGAAAGAGCTAATTTAAAAACAACATAGAAAAAAGTTGATAGAATGGGTAAAGATATACCCTGCAAAATAAAATGGCAAAAGTTTTTAACAATAATAATTTCGAATAAAATATAATTATATATAAAATGCATTTAAAAAGGAACAAAGATGGATATTTCATATTCATAGAATGAGGAATCTACCAAGTCATAAATATTCATAGATTTTTATCTACCTAACATAGCTTCAATATGAAAGGCTTTCTCAGGCCAGGCGCAGTGGCTAACACCTGCAATTCCAGCATTTTGGGAAGCTGAAGTGGGCAAATCACCTGAAGTCAAGAGTTGGAGACCAGACTGGCCAACACTGTAAAACCCCATCTCTACTAAAAATGCAAAAAATAGCTGGGCATAGTGGCAGGTGCCTATGATCTCAGCTACTCAGGGGGCTGAGGAAGGAGAATTGCTTGAACCCAAGAGGTGGAAGTTGCAGTCAACAGAGATCATGCCACTGCACTCCAACCTGGGCAACAGAGCAAGACTCCAGCTTAAAAAAAAGAAAAGAAAAGAAAGGCTTTCTCAACTAGTCACAAAAATAACAAAGCATTAGCCTTGTCCTAACTTAATTACATACAAATTAAAAACAAGAATACAAAAATATTTCATAAACATAAGAATCTGTGTGGCAAGGAACATAAAATGGATAACAGTACAGTGTAATTTTAGTTTAATTTATATTTTTAGCTTTTGATAAAGAGAAGTGATATAGTTTGGATATTTGTCCCCTTCACATCTCGTGTTGAAATGTGATCCCCAGTGTTGGAGATGAGGCCTAGTGGGAGGTGTTTGGGTCATGGGGGTTGATTCCTCATGAGTGGTTTATGTCCTCCCTGTAGTAATGAGTGAGTTCTCATTCTATTAATTCATGGAAGAACTAGTTATTTAAAAGAGCATGGCACCCTTCACCCTTTCTCTCTTTTCTCTCTCACCATGTGACAATTGCTCCCCTTTCCCTTCTGCCATGAGCAGAAGCCTCCTGAAGTTCTCACCAGAAACAGATGTTGGCACCATGCTTCTTGTACAACCTGCAGAACTGTGAGCCAAACAAACCTCTTTATAATTTACCTAGCTTCAGGTATTGCTTTATAACAATACAAACAGACTAACACAAGGAGATATGAATGAATTGTTTGGTTAATGGAAATGCATTTAAAAACCTTTATAAAACTATATGGAAAATGGGAGAAAGACATTTGTTACCAGGACAAAACACCTAGAGACCATAAAGAAAAAAAAATGTAAAATTTGATGTACTAGTTATTTAAATATCTTAAGTAACAAAAATGATGATTAGCAAATCAAAATATGAGTAAAAGCCTGGGGAAACATAGGCTCTTCATATGTTAAAGACTATTCCTAACATATAAAGGCAGAAATCAACCGGAAAAAAAATGAAAGGCAACAGATAAACAAGAATTTCACAGAAAAATAAAGACAGGCAATATGCATATGGCAAAGAGTGCAACTGCACTCATATAAACAGGTGGTGATCAGAATAGGGAAAATTAAGCAAAGTGCGGTGGTGCACAGCTGTAGTCCCAGATACTTGGGAGGTGGAGGTGGGAGGGTCATTTGAACCCAGAAGTTCAAGACTGTAGTGTGCCCAGTGATTAGCTACTGCACTCCAGGCTGGGCAACATGGCAAGATTCTGCCTTTAAAAAAAAAAAATAGAGAAATTTAAATTTCAAGAATATCTGGAAAAGGAAAAAGTCCTGGAAAAGTGGCCTTGGCACTAACTTGAAGAGCAAATTGACAATATGTTTCAAAATTTTAAATATACATACTCTTTGATCCAAAATATTACTTTTAGAATTTCCAACATGCAAATTTCCATCATTGCAAAAGTTCAAAATGATAATTTCCAGAGTATATTACCAGTACAATTTTGAATAATGAAATGGAAATAAGCAAAAAAGTGAAAAAACTTGAAAACAACAGAAATGCTCACAAATGAATACTACATAGCCATTGAAAAGAATAAAAAGAAGGTGCAAAAACATATACATATAAATCCATTTATGTAAATAAGAAAAATGAAATTAATAGATATAGATTGTGATATTTGTGTTTATATACACATAATTAGCCTGCTGTTTATATATATATATATATATATATATACACATACATATACAGATTTCATATGTACATATACATATATTTTTCTGTGTGCATTTGCATGTGTGGGTTTCTCATGCAACTGCTTAGGAGGCAGATTTTTAAAATTAAAATAAATTATAAACTATCTAATTAGGTGCTATGCTTGGTAAAAAGTATATCCATGACCATAAGCTATGGAGACTAGGGAAAACAGTAAGGTTTTGCAGCTTCAAGTTCAAAAGCTCCAATTAAATGTTTTCTTTTCAATAACTTCCAAAATAAGCCACATAGTGGAGGTATTGACCATGTCTTGAATCAGAATCCAAATTTTTCACAATGGACCTATAAAGGCAGGTAAGTCTTTTTGCAAAATGGAGTAAAATGACAGAGAACAAA